AATGAACGAAAATTAGATAGAACTTAAAAGTGAAGCCCAGGATAGAGTAGGTTGGAGAACACTGGTCGGTGGCCTATTATCCATTGTGGCTAACAGGTGTAAGTAAGTACATTAACAGTAATTGGGAATTGTTTACATACAACATATATGCAATTAAGTCCAGAATGTTAAGGTACTGCAGTTCTAATATTATTTTTCCGTTATGCAGTGGAAATCAAGCACTCTGAAGTTTACAAACTTTATTTAAATTATAATATAACATAATTCTCATTCAGTCTCATTTGAAGCCGTAAATATATTTTGTCTATTTTATCATTTCACCCCAAACATCACGAGATGGTCTTAGGTAAACTACCATTTAAATCTCAGAAGCAATATACAGTCGTTTCATTTGAGAGACTTCACAGTAGGGAGCATCCATGACCCCTCATTTGGTGAATGAAACCAAGACCTTTTGTCTCATACATGAACGCTAAAACTCTAGAAGACTGAGCCAATATCCAACGGTGTTGATGTTAAACCCCAATCAATTCACGATATTTCACAACCCGTTATCTATTGTTTGCAGTGAATAACTGTTTCACACCCGACATCATTAAAATCCATTGGTTACGACTTTTCATTACAACTACAAAAAAGTTACATCTTGAAGCTAGTGACTAGTGAGCGCATGATTATTATTAGAATACGGAAATTTAAGGAAAGTAGAATTTCCAGTTTTAAATCACGAACTAAATCTAGCTAGACCCTCTGTGAAAACTTGAAAGCACTGGGTAACCGTTTATTAATATCTCTTATGTATGAATAGATAATGTTTAAAAAACTTTAGTATTAAATAAACTGTTGTTTAATTTTTGTGGTTTCGTTTTAGTAATCCTTAATTACATAAATATCAAAATGAATAGTATGACATATATAAGTGCAAAAATAAATTAACCTATGTTTTAGCTTATATATTTTAGCCAACTCTTTATATGCCTGAATATTTGAAGAACGTTTTCGATAAAAAGTTGTTCATATTTAATGTTTAACTACATTTCTACGTCAAACCTCATCCTACATCATGGTAGTAAGAACGCAATTTCCGTCATATACATATATGTACATATATATTCCGACGTCAAATTGTCACCTCTTATAATTAATTTTCATGTTATCACCAAAATTACAAGTTTTCAGAACTGTTACATTTAAAACTCAAATAATAAATTGAAAGTCTTTTCAGTAAAACAATAGAATTATACATCTATGCTTAACAATAATAATAACAGTCGTGAGAACACTCGTTTTAAACTTATTACAGAAAAATTTAGCTGATTATTTTTAAAATGTCGACAAATTACTCACTTAAACACATCTTTTTTTCTGCTTTATATATTTAAAATACGATTGGAACATAAGACAACGGAGTAGCATGTAAATTGTCGAATTATTCAGCCGTAAAAAAACGACTAGAACGCTGATAGAATAAATTTTAAAAATATGACAGCTTGATTAGAGTTTTCAATATTCTTCTATTCAATAATGGGATATCTAGACTAGATAATAATATCTGTAAGTAGACTAACAGAGAGTAATACTTTTGTTTAAAGCCTACAATATAAATATTTAATCGCAATATCAAAATATCAAGAATTCAAATAATAATACAGAGATCTAAACAGAAATGAATGCTCAACTGTCCACTACTTTTTTGGTTTCATTTTCATCTTTGCCACTACCAAGTGGTAGTTCTTTGGTCTTACATCCTCCATGATCCATCTATGCTTTTTATTGATGCAGATAAGATCAATTTGGTTGTCCATTGTGTGATCTAGTGTAACCCACGTAGCCTTTTGTGTGTGTTTGTGTTGGAATATGGTGTTGCCCATAACCATTCTGTTGAAGACACTAGTTTGCGAATCTCTCACTGTTACTTTCTCCTAGTACATTTCGTATCAGGTTGTCTTCATATCCAGAGTTGTCCATTCCGAATGAGGATTTGACTATTCTAACAGGAGAGATAAACGCCGTTGTTTGGCATTTCTCTACGATTGACTTCAGCCTCCCATAGAATTGGCCTATATCGTCTTCTTTGTTATGGTTGGTGGGCACACAGCACTGGATGACATCCATTGAAATCCCATCTTTCTCTGTCTTGAAGAATGCTACGATGGTCTGATCTTAAGTTCATGAGATCCTCACGCTTTAAGTGCTTCGGGTTTCTTCGAACAGCATCAATGCGACTCCTTGATTTTGTGAGGCGTTTTATTCTTCATGGTCGGAGTATGTTAGCTTCTCTTCAATTTGCCTCTAATGCGTTTGGCTGATTCCATGTACCATCAATTTGAATCCTTTCACTTCTGTAGCAGATGGAATAGTTTTTCCAGTCTCCTACATCATGTGATCATTGCATTCGCCTATAATGATGTTTATTCTGATTGTCAGAAGGGGTATCAGCCTCATGAACTCGGCTTTCATCGTGATGCGTGATAACTCTTCTAAATTAAAACCTTCCAACTCACAGGGGAGAGCTTAAATGATTTGAATTATTGTTTCTGGTTAGCGTATTTTTAGCGAGTTAATTTTCCACGGAATGAGGTTGCTAACCCCGATTCCAACCCTCCTCTTTAATGCGAACTTGGGACTCTTGGTAACCCTTTATAGGAAAGTTTGTACAAATAGAACATTTGATTTCATATTTATACCTGACGATTCAGTTATTTATTAGTAATCTCTTTTACCTATCTTTACGAAAAGTATTTTAAAATCTTTACTTTAATGTTTTCTTCCTTTAAAAAAGTACACGTTGATCTAATACATATTCCATACGTTTGTTTATTTCTGACATCTTAACGAACACACTTAGGTTTCATAGAACGTCATTTTCAGATACATCGAAATACCATCATAGATAAATAACTATTGAACAGATTGTGTAAATAAAACCCATCAGATTGGTATATGAAATATGATGAGCAGATCTAACAATGTGTTTGTCATGTAATATACCTAGAAGTAAATAGCTTATGGTAAAACCATATGAAAGCAAGTATTTTGAGCTGATGTCAGCCAATCAGTTACTTAGTCATTTCTGATAAAGATTGATAAAATTATGATGGATCAATAGTTTCCAGCGTAATAAACTGACAAAGAATGATAAGCATTAGGCATACAATAAAAATCATATTTTTTGTTTCATAGCGTCGTTTTTGTACACAATTGTGATGCTGAAAGAAAGAGAGAAAAAATATCAACAGCTAGTGGTTATGTTCACAAGGCAATACAACCCAAAAAATAATGTGTTAAAACTAGTTAGAAATGGTAACAAGGAGGAAAAACACTAAATATTCCGGAAACATGTGAGAAATATCCCAGCATTGCATGCTGGTGGATGCAATGTGTATTCTACATGATTTTATTTAGCGTTTTACTATGGTATATTAATCTGAACACGATACTTTACACTCCTAGTAACTTCAATGCAATATACGTAGGTAAAACACCTTAGATCCATCCATTTATTACAGCCCGGTTTGAAGTAGCTCTGAGTATTCAATCGATCTTGTAAAAAACAAATACATAGGAGGATACATTCGCGTAAAAATTTGATTAAAAGTTATCATACACCTAATACATTTTAACGGTATTCGATTTCTTTAATATCGCTAACTTCTAAAGCTTAGCTAAAATTTGCTTTTGGATATTTTTCCAAGTTGGCTCGGAGTGGGCATCACGTACGTTGTAGTGAAAATGTTTTTCTATTTGCGCCTCATACAAAATTGTCATTGAAGAAACTTCTTCATAATACAGTAAGACAGCCAGCTACAACGTAGAACTTCGTACGTACCTACATCAGTTCAAGTTGCCATACCACATTAGTACACAAAGATCGAATCGTCAATACAAATCCCATAGTAGTAAAGGTTGGAGAAGTATTAGTGGTGAAGGCGAATTTTCAGGTATTGAATATATGATCCGAGAAGTACATCCCAGTAAGGTTAGTTGAAAAGCAGAAAAAAATTCATGAGGAATTCAGAAAGTTAGAATCTAAGAGAACACAAAAATGGATACATCTACGTCATTCTAAGTGCTTTTGAGCCATGTCGTCCAGTCTCTAACCACTGCTTACCATTGTCTCGCGAACCCCGAGGCAGTCTTCATCTACCAACAAGGCTCAATCCACTTGTCAGTGACTTCATGGATTTGTGCCATGTTTTGGTTTGGCCGCTTCTATCTTTCTTACAACTTCACTCGTCGAGGCAGTCGGTGGTCAGGTGTACATAACACTTGTCGCAACCATCTCCACTAATGAAGATTTACTACTTCATCTATTGATTCGCCACCCCTACCTAGAACTCGTTTCCTAACGACAGCATTTCTTACTCGATGCTCCTAGGATATACGAGCGATGCTTCGAAGACACCGACGACCATATACTAGTAGCCCACGAATATCCTCTACTCTTACTAGCCATGTTTTACATCTACAAAGTGGGACGGAGTGAACTGCTACACAGTGGACTAGTCCTCTGACTAGCAGACGGATATCTCGCCTACGCCGTAAGTGATGCAGGTTGGCAAAAGCCAGCTGAGCCTTCTGTATTCGTGTAGAGTTCTCGTCAAGGGTGATGAGATTCCTAAGATACGTGAAGCAGTCAACATGCGCAACTCTTTCACTGCCTATCACATATTCAGTGTGTAACGTAATAACTGATGCATATAAATCACTTTTAGAAAAATCTAATTAGATATTTAACATGCACATTGAACTACCAACAAGTAATTTGAGTCAAAAAGGATTTTGAGCTTTTATTTGTCATGAATCTGTCGTGAACACCTTAAGTGATGCGGATTATGATTGATTAGTGAGCTTCAAGTACATACAATTCACAAGAATTTATTGTTTCTTGAAGAATCTATAACACCATATGGTCTTAAAGTATTTTAATTTATTTCTAATACATACTACATTTTCCTGTTAAGCATATGTGATTATGTAGTCAACAAACAACAGATTAAGGCTGATAACGTAGACCATATCAATAAAAATGAATACTTTAGTCAGTATGAGATATTTTATTCACATAAATATCATTTGCATGAATCAAAAATACACTGTAATTAAACAATATTCGGTACGGAACCAATGAATGTTATAAAAGAGCAAACACAATTTGGTGTGTAAGGGAATCCTTAAAAATGTTATCACAGTAGACTCATGGTCGGTTTCGCTTATCACGGTGAAATCGACTCCAAACCGAATGCATTCATTTGATCAATCCAACCTCTGTTGAAACAATCCTCAGAAAATTTGTCGCGTACCCACTTAGCAGCATTCTTTCGTATAGCATCAATTTGTGATTCGGACATTTTTAGCAATACCAACTCAAAAATACTTGCATATTCATCAACTGTAGATGCAAGAAATCCAACACCTGAATTTTCTAACTGATTGCAAGATAAGCTAGTTTCCGATGGTCCAATGATATCAGTAAGCGGACCACCAGATCTATGAGCAACTGTGATAAGACCTGAGGCCATGCCTTCCACAATACCTAGAGAAAATAAAACAAAACAATGGACTATATTATGAAGGAATAACTCATATAACTTGATTGATGTCTTTTAAATTAATGTTGGGGGACAAAAAGAGAGTACAAAGTCCGGATGTCGAGATGGAATCGTTAACTACCCGTGAGAAACCCCAGTTTGGATTAACCCAGAACACTAGGAATCACATCTTATAGTTTGATATCTAACATCGCAACAGCTAGCAATATATGCGGTGCGCTAAAATATCATCTCAACCAAAATTATTAGGCGTTTGAAAACCCATTATTACTTGAATGATAAGTCCAGAGACTATGGATCATATGGAACGAGTATCATTATAGAGATTCCATACAGAATGCCCATAAGGGAGAAAAACACCAATCTATTTACTCTTAAAAGAAACTGATCACAGACAGAAAAATCTGACCTAGAGTGTGGTAAATGCTCTAGAGTGTACGCACGAAAATGTATATATATGAATTAGCACGAGTTGCCTTAGCAGTCAGCGAAGGCAAGTATCGAATCTATAAAGCACACCAATAACACACTTGAACAAGGATGGAGAAAGTGGACATACCTGATTAACACCACTTGAAGTAATCAACAGCGATGACAGTTCGCCGTATGCTCTTACTCGACCAGTGCTGTTCGAGTAGAGATACTGTGACACGCACTGCCATAGAACCTCACGGTCCACAGAGTCAAATTCCGCTTTAACGTCAAGGAAGACAACTATTGTCGGACGCATAAATATGTCTGTGGTCTACGACCTGTCGCAGTTTGAATATGTGCTCTATACAGCCACGTTCAGGTCTGAAACCAGCATGGTTTTCTCGAATCTGCTCTTCACGTGTCCTGGTTAGGTGTCTAAGTGTTAAAGATGCAAACCATCTAGAGACTATATTAGTTAAGCTGATTTCTCTGTAATGGTCACGAAAGGTCTTTCGTCCTTTCTTGTAAATTGGAAAAATCAGAGACTGAAATCAGTCAGATGGGATTACGTCCAGTTACTAAATTCAACCTAGAATCTCACTCAGTCTAAATGCTAAGACTGGACCACCATCCCTAAAAATCTCAGCAGTGAGGCCATCAGTTCCCGCTGCTACCCCCGATTTCGATTTCCTACAGCTTTATCAACTTCATAAAGAGTCGGAGGATTCACATCAACTTGCTATGCAGGTTGACTGAAGATTATGGGCGACCGAAGAGTAGCTGAAGGCCAGTTTAAGTGATGTGCTCTTCCCATCGATCCAATCACCTGGATTGAGAATGAATAACAGTCCAATCCGTTTCCGAGTTAGTCTCACAATCGGATTCCTAATACCGGCTTCCTTGATAAGTCTGGACGGTTGTCTACTGTTGCCTATCGCTCCTGTCTTTCCCATCTCTCTTGCTTTCGCTACCAACCACTGTTTGCGACAAATGCGTAGGCGTTTTATCAGCCTCTGCCTACGCTGACTCCTTTCCTCATCGCACTCAGAGCCACACCGGATGAATTTCCGAACATCTATCAGTCAGGTGGATGCTACTGAAACCCGTCGCTTCTCCTTAACCTTACAGTTGACTTACGTGAGCGCGATGTGACAAAAGAACAAAAGAAAGGTTAGTCGTGGATATGAGGAAACATTCGATTGTGACCAACTTGGTCTCGCGTGCTTTCACGGGTATGAGGGTGGATGTCACTTCCAAACTGCCCACACCGTGGAAGCGTATTTCTTGAGCAACCTGAAAAAAAAGTTGGATTAGTGTTGGTCTTGGAGACCTGTGAGCGTGACCTCAGAGCCCAAGGGACAGCTGCCTGATGTCGGTCACACACAGCCTTTTTATGGGAAGGTTTAAAAGTGTTATCTACAATCTTCAAATGGCCTTAGCGCTGGAGACGAAAATCCGTGAGGTAAGGTGAAGTGTGACATTTTTAGGGTCCACCTTTTCTTACCCCTCCCTTCCTTGTGAGAAGGCAGCATCGTTGCAGATACTGGTTGTTCGAGAGAAACACCTTACTGCTGTTCCATTGCTCTACAGTCAGCAGTACGATTTCGTCCTCAGACCTTGAGTTGTTGCGTTCAGTCTCACTGTTGTCCAATCGACCTTCCTGTTATCGTAGAACCTAAAGGAACGTATGTTCCAGCCAACATAACTTGGTTGGGTCATCACGATAGGCAAACCCGTCCTCCACTTTAAAGTAGCAGGTACAGTCGGGTACATGATACATGAATTGCAACAATTAACCAGCAACATACTGATATTCTTAGAGAAACAGCCAGGATTATGAGGCTTTATGTTGATTTTTAGCAGATAGATCAGATCTTATTAGTCAATATTTTAAACCTGATGCTGCTGTTCTTGATGTTTTATGTGTTTATTAATGTTGTATTCCCTGATAGTCAAGTTTTATTTAGAACCTCTAACATCCCATACAATATTTTTAGCGTCAACTTTAAACTACTTACTAATTCCAAAGTGTTCATCCACCATAGTGTGCAAATTAATAGAACAACGTCCAAAATAGCTTTTTAATTCCTGATAAGGCAAATTAATGTGGAACTCTACAGCATCTTCAAGTTTTAGTGAAGCAGCATGGTCTTTGAGTTCTGATACAAGGGCGAAATCCTTATCATCCCGGCAGCCACCTATTAAAAGAAGTTTGAACTGATGTTGTTCATTGTTCTTTGTTGACTTATGACGTTCAAGGAAGTGATGGAAAGCGTCCAACTGAAGCTAAATGTTAGAAATAAATTTTTCAGTTATTTAATTAAGCCCCAGTGATAATTGGAAACGCTATAACCGTAAAATACACATTCAAAAAATTTTATACTTGGTATGCATATCTATAAGATAAGACTGAAGTAATAATACTTTATGCATTCACTGAGGGTGGTATCAGTATAGAAAACCACATCAAACTCGGAACCAGTTTCACACGAGTGGATCAGTGCTTACTATTATATGAACCTAACCCGGTATTTTTATATACGAAGACTTCCCTGCATTGCTTTCTGATATATCATCTTATCAGCTACCTACAGCCTACAATAATAACTATGATAATAGATGATCATCAGCAATTGAAATAGATCTATATGGCGTTTGCTTTTTGAAAAATTTGAAGCTGAACCATAACATTGACGTAATAGCCTCATTAGTGGATCCTGTATCGACACCTAATTTAAGTGTCTGACTGTGCACGATTTACTTTGTGAGTAGCTGAGGATTTTAGAACTAGTACAGCCATAGGTTTGTATAAAGTGTTGAACTAAAAAAGTGCATATCAGCAGTATTTTACGTCATAGTTGTTTGGAAGTATTTAGATGAGTAGATTTATAAAATCTAACTTCACAAAAAACCTAATCACAGGCTTGTACACAATCACAATTGTTCAGTGGTTTTATTTAATCGACTTTTTAAGCGATAACACTAATTGACAACCTTAATGACTTCTGGATCAGAAAATATAACTATTCAAAGTTTTGGTTAGAAATGAATATTTGGCACTTTGATAAGCCTTTACTAAATTGTAACTTGAGGAACGTTTTGTTTGGTGTTATATTTTAAGATCCTAGTGTTAAGTATTTGAGTATAGGAAACATCGAACATTACACGAAACTATAACAGCAAACATAGTACAATGTTGAGTACGTCAGGTTACGTGAAATAATAAACATTTCGGTTCACTAGTGACATTATTAAATATTTAATTATTAATGTGATCAGAAAGTACTCTACAATGTGCCATCAACTGAACTATCTAGAAGATATTTGAATAAAAATAAGCAAACCTTGTGATTTTTTTCCGGCCTAAACTGACCAACAGACAAGATCCATTTAGACCGTTGATTACTAACTAATCTTCCTTCCAAATCTTCGATGGGACATGGGGGATATAGTACAACAGGCCTGCCACCCCACAGTGATTGAATATGTTTTTGAGTCCAAGACGAATTCGTCATTGCAACATCGACATTTATACTTGAACCAGAGAACTCGTATGCTTTGATAAAAAGTTTATAGTATAAAATCTTTACACTGGAAAGAATTTTATTATTTCTAATCCAATCAGCATTATTGTAAGTTAGAACTACTTCATTGATATTTTTTGAGGACAACGAAGACGATACACGTTGCAACATGTCAGATGATATAGTTGGATAATGTACGTAAGCTGCTGTCAGTGAATTACCTAACCATTTGGTTAGGGGCATGGTAAAGGAGAACCCAGTAGTGTCAACATATACATCTGGAGGGCATCTAAATATGGCTTCTAATCCAACTAGAACTGAACCAAAAGCCTGACCGGCTAGAGTGAATAAACGGTATAACCTTGGAGTTAGTAATATTTGTGATTTCAATGGTACAAAATGTATAGCAGAAGAATCAAACGGTTTGCTAAAGTATATTCCAAATGTTTTTCGGATGTTACTGAAGACTTTGTCAGGATTTGAAAGGCATTCTGCATCATTGGTATAAATTATGATTATAATGTTTTTATATCTATATTTACAAAATTCCAAATGTTATTCAATAAAATAGTGAAACAACCTACTTTTCCAACATACACTTAACTGCAGTCCAAAGAACACGTTCACCTCCACCTCCACAATTACAATAAGGATGAAAGAACGCAACAATCTTGTGATTAACTGGAACACTGTATTTCTTCATTAAATTACGGCGCATAACGTGTCTTCGATGATGAATAAGCCATTTCATTGCGGGAATAATAAGAAATACAGCCAACAACCAGACCAGAAAAGTCTAGAAGTTTAACGAAATGACCAACTTACTGTCATTTTTTGAACAAGATGTTTCGTCGGAAACCAATAACAAGTGGAAGTCTCTAAATAAGCTAAAAAATAAAGACAACTCAGTAGATTAAGAGCCACAGTATACGTAATTAAATCTTAGCTATAAATTACAAACTAGAGTTCATCCTAATGAGTCCGATTTAAGCAGTCAGATAATTTCGGAAATTTCCATCAGAAAAATGTCACTTGTTCATTTGCCAGGTTCACCAATGAGACTGTCATTGGACGGAGCAAGATGTTCTTTTAGACTACATATAGGCAATCCCAAAAAGAATGAAAAGTAGGCCAATTTAGCATGAAGGCTACCCTAAATAATCCAACGGCAAAATAATGTATTAAAAAGCATAATAAGCACGCTGACAACAGTGCATACAAATTAAGCACTTAAAAGTTATCCACTGCATAGATAAAGCAACAAAGTGGAAAACGATAGCAGAGATAAATGAAAATTGTCCTTATTGAAGATCAAATGAAGGCCTTAACACTACGAGTAATCAGTAGTTCTCATCTGCAATAAATAACACGGAACATACTTCATAATTTTCTTTCAGAACGAAGTACGATGTATTAACCCTCCTAATATGAACTATGTTTTTCATCTGATTAGCCACTTTGAGCCCAACCGTAGCTGCTACTTAAAAGTAGAGGACGGGTTTGCCTGTCGTGATGACCCAACCAAGTTATGTTGGCTGGAACATACGTTCCTTTAGGTTCTACGATAACAGGAAGGTCGATTGGACAACAGTGAGACTGAACGCAACAACTCAAGGTCTGAGGACGAAATCGTACTGCTGACTGTAGAGCAATGGAACAGCAGTAAGGTGTTTCTCTCGAACAACCAGTATCTGCAACGATGCTGCCTTCTCACAAGGAAGGGAGGGGTAAGAAAAGGTGGACCCTAAAAATGTCACACTTCACCTTACCTCACGGATTTTCGTCTCCAGCGCTAAGGCCATTTGAAGATTGTAGATAACACTTTTAAACCTTCCCATAAAAAGGCTGTGTGTGACCGACATCAGGCAGCTGTCCCTTGGGCTCTGAGGTCACGCTCACAGGTCTCCAAGACCAACACTAATCCAACTTTTTTTTCAGGTTGCTCAAGAAATACGCTTCCACGGTGTGGGCAGTTTGGAAGTGACATCCACCCTCATACCCGTGAAAGCGCATGACCAAGTTGGTGACAATCAAATGTTTCCTACGTCTCCTAATAACTCTCTCATATCCACGACTAACCCTTCTTTCGTTCCTTTGTCACGTCGCGCTCAAGTGGTCAGACTAAATGCAAGGGAAAGACACGCGGGTGCATCTTATGGTGTCTTTGCTATTAGAACAGATGATGGCGATGATGGCTATGCTCAGATAACCTCCTCTAACCTTAAGCATAAGGAAAAACATATTTGGACATGGAAACGCCCAGACTCGTCTCAACGTTGGACACAACTAGATCACATTACTATCAGCCAACAATGGAGAGGCGCAATAGAAGACTGTCGCTTTTTTAGATCATGCTCTAGTACGAGCGTGTGTTTGTTTGCATTTCAAGGAAAACCCCTTACGGCTCTACTTAATGATAATAAAGCTAAGCGTATATTTCAAGAACAACTAGAAAAACAGTTAGGCAGCCATGTACTAAGTGATGCCCACCCTGAGGCAGTTCGGAATGATATCAAAAAACCTGTGGAAACAGCAGTAATATCTGCTTGTAAGGTGAACCGTAAGGTTAAGGAGAAGCGACGGGGTCAGTAGCATCTACGAAACTGATGGATGCTCGGAAACTCATTCCACGTGGCTCTGAGTACGATGAGGAAAGGAGTCAGCATAGGCGCAGGCTGATGGAAAGCCTACGCAATGATCGCGAATAGTGGTAGGTAGCGAAAGCAAGAGAGATGGGAAAGACAGGAGCGATAGGCAACAGTAGACAACCGTTCAGATCTATCAAGGAATCCAGTATTAGAAATCTGACTGTGAGATCATCTGGGAAACGGATTGGACTGTTATTCATTCTCAATCTAGGTGATTGGACCGATGGGCAGAGCACATCACCTAAACTGGCCTTTAGCTACACTTCGGTTGCCCATAATCTTCAGTCGAGCTACATAGCGAATTCATGTGAATCCTCCGACTCTTTATGAAGTTGATAAAGCTGTAGGAAATCGAAAGCGGGGGTAGCAGCGGATCCTGATGTCCTAACTCCTGAGACTTTTAATGATGGTGATCCAGTTTTAGCAGTAAGATTGACTGAGATCTTAAGTAACATTAGGGAGCTGGACGAAATCCCATCTGACTGGTTTCAATCGCTGATTGTCCCAATTTACAAGAAAGGACGAGAGGCTTCTTGTGACAATCACAGGGGAATCATTCCAACTAATATCGTCTCTAAGTTGTTAGTCTCGATAATCCTTAGACGCCTAACTAGAGCATGTGGAGAGCAGACTCGCGTAAAGCAGGCTGGTTTTCAAACATGAACGTGGCTGTATAGACCACATTTTTACATTACGACAGGTCTTAAACCACAGACACATTTCGGCGTCCGACAATAGTTGTCTTCCTTGACGTTAAAGCAGGATTTTAATCCGTCGATTGTGAGTTTCTATGTCAGTGCATGTCACAGGATCTCTACTTGAACACCACTGGTCGAGTAACTTTGTCGAAGATATGCTTTCAGAGCTAACATTATCATCGTCTGACTCTTCAGGAGTGGATTTCCTACCAGGGAACATTAAAAGCTACAATATTTAATTTATTACGGGGTTTCAGGAGATCAGGAATAATGTTTCGTGAGCTAAAACCGTTTGCCTAAGCGGCGCGAGGTGACAAATGATCGAAGGGAAGTTTGGTTGAGGAGATAAGAGAGTTATTAAGAAGTGTAGAAAGGATTTGATTGTAACCAACTTGGTCTGCTGCGCTTAGACGGGTATGAGAACGGATGTCACTACTCGGATGCCCATACTGTGGAAGGGACCCAGTTGTCAGAAGGGGCATCGACCTCATGACTTCCGAAGGACCTCGACTTTCATCATGAGACTTCATAACACTTCTAAATGAAGACCTTCCGACTCCCAAAGCTGAGTTTATGTGGTTCGAATTATTTTTTCATAATAGCGATTTTTTGGCAAGTTAGTTTTTTTCGGGATGGGGTCGTCAACCCTATTTCTAACCCTCCTCCTTTATCCGGGCTTGGGACCGACAGCAGCCCCGAAGGGTCTACAGGCGGAGTTAAAGAGACGACTATACTGCGCAGCAGTTCACATGTCATACTATAGTGATGCGAGACATGGCCAGTTGGAGTTGAAGGCGTTCGTATGTTTTTAGCATTCGATTATAGATGTCTTCGAAGCACTGCTCGTGTATCGTGGGACAACCGAGTAAGCAGGGCTATTGTTAGGAAACGGGTGCTAGGTAAGGATGGCAGGTCAACGGATGAAGTATTGAAACTTTATCAGTTGATGTGGTTAGGACATGTGTTGCATATGCCCAACCAGCGACTGGCTCGTCGAGCTATGTTTTGCGATGTAGAAATAGGTTGGGAGAAAGCTAGGGGCGACCAAACCGCAGTGTCCTATAGGGTTTCAGAGTCATTAAGCATGTAAAACTACCTACCTGACTAAAGTATTTTGCAACAGCTTTAGATTATCTTTTGATACGTAAGCAGCTAACTGGTAATTAAATTCCACTCGGCTGCCATAACAAATACCTTTTCTGAATTCTTGTTTTAGATAGATTTTGATACCTGACGTTGTGCCACAGCAAAATGTATTGTTATGCAAGCCACTCAACTATTAAAAAACGTTGATAGAAATTGTTGAAACCGTATCCGCCGGTGATGTTTCGGCCAAAGTAGCACAAGCAACCTACATTCAGTCAGTCAGTTAAAATACAGAACTTTGTACGTACGTAGAAGCAACCTAAAGCGACTTTGAAAGCTTTGTGGACTGATAATTTACTAGCTGTAGGTATTCGAAGGCCCCACTATAGTTAGACAGACTAATGAGTGCTTGACGTACATTATCGCACTTAAAAATGGCACAGAAAAAAGTCAGCTGTAGCGGTTGGCATCTGGCTAGAAGGTATATTGCGTACTTAGGGAGCATATAGAGTACGGTAGGCGGGCGTAGTTGAGAAAAGGAAGGAACGAAAGAGGTGTTCATACAAAAGGCGAGCAAAATTCACTCACTTTTGCACGGTATAACAAGTATTAACCAATGACAACGCAGGCTTCAGCTTCAGATAATTTGGAAGCGGAACTTGAAGAGTATAACTCGATGACCTCTCACCGTGATACAGAGGTAACTTCAGCCTGATGTAAGGTTGGTTTTAGCCAGAAGGTATCTTGTATGCTAGGAGTATGAAGTTATCAGAAGAAAAAAATCAAGAGACAACGGTGAGTCGATGACTCAGTAAGCACATAGAATGCACTTAAATTCAGCAGAGAAATTAATAAACAGCAACCAGAAATAAATCTAGAATGAGATCAAGACAAGCTAATAAACGAAACTAAGGGTTGTCAAAGTAAGCTTACGTATGCTTTACGCAGCCAATGGTTGAAAACAACGCTTCAGAGTTTCGACGACCTTGTAAGGTTAGCGGTTAACCTGCATAAATACTTGGAAATAATAATACTGTGATATATCTCTCTCTGAACATATCTACAGAAAGTGCTAATAATATCTGCTGATGAAAAGTATTTCAGTACTTCACTTCTGAAACTGAAGACGAAAGTAATTTGACTTCGACTATTGAACTTTTATGGAACGTCTTATGATACCTATGGTACGGTAACGGAAATAGGTTCAGTCATTGTGGTGTTTGAATGAACTAGTAACTTCTTGTTGTTGTAAAATGCTTGATTTCGAATTCTAAATACAATACATTCGTTTGTGCATACCTTTAATTCTTGATTCATATACTTCTAATCATCACAGTGGCGTCGCGAGCAGGATTTGTAATGGAACAGCTAGATATTCATTCTACTTCTGAAGCTTTTGAAGATTATTTGGAAAGGTTTGAAATCTGGAGTATGACCAGGAAAGATGTCAAAGATGATAAAATTGTGGCTCATTTCCTAACATTCATCGGAAAAGAAGCGTACAGCTTATTGAAAACCTTGGCATATCCAGAGAAACCTATTTCACTTCCCTATGCAATGCTTAAGGAGTTATTATTGAATCATGTAAAGTGCCCTGGTTTTGAATGCCGTGAAAGAGCGAAATTTCATAAGATGATTCGTCAAAATGACCAAAATGTTAAGGGATTCATTCTTGAATTGCAGAAACAGGCTGTCAAATGTAATTTTGGTGATCAACTTCATGTGCAGCTGAGAGACCGATTGATTGCAGGAATTAACATACCTAGTTTGGAAAGAGAGCTGTTAAGAATGTCAAACTGTTCCTTTCAAGATGTTAGAACTGCGTGCATTAACTACGAGGCGTTGAATGAACTTGATATTCAGTCGATGAAGATTTCCAATACTTTGATTAGTTGTCATGATGAAAAACAATCTCAGGGTCAATCAAAATTGTGTTCGTTTAACAGTGGCTCCTATTCACGTGTAAATATGAACGGTGTCTCAAAAAAGAATTACAAAGGAAATCAAAAAGGTGAGACCAAGTTTGGCAAATGTTTATCATGTGGAAAACTTCATTCTCGTTATTATTGTACATTTCGTAATGCTAAATGTTTTAGATGTGGTAAGATAGGACACATTCAAGCAGTATGCAAAGCTACTGTTCATTTTGCCTCAAGTAGTACTAAAGCTTGTAATTTAGATTCCAATAATTCAGCTGATCCTAATGATCATTTATCTTTAACTACCATTTCGAAAGGTAATGCTCATATTCAAAAGCGACTATATACATCACTTGGTTCATTTCATGACTTTATTGTGGACACAGGCAGTATAGAGTCCATTATTTCATTCAAGAACCTGAAATCGTTAGATCCGAACGTTGTGATACGACCCACTGAAGTATCAATATTGGGGATTACTGGACACAAACTGCCTATACGAGGATGTTGTGAATTGCTAATAAGAGATGATGATTCCTCATACATACCATGTGAATTCTTAGTTAGCGAAACGGGACTGTCAATACTGGGTTTAAAGAATTTGAAAAGGCTTAAAGTGGAGTTGTCTCTCCTAGTTTCTAAAGAAAATTCTGATGCTTTACTTAAAGATTTGATAGCCACGTGTGCTAAGTGCAGTGGAAGTATGAAAATGGTTCAGCACGGGAGTGCCAAGCAAATTCAACATGTTGACTACATTTCTCGACAGTCATTAAATGCAGATATTTGTCGTACAGCAAAGAATTGCGAAAAGTGTCATAAGCTGAAAAATCAGCATTCGAGGTTGAGTGATTCTATTGTCGCCTCAACATTTAATGAGCTGGAGAGGGGAGTAGATACCTTTCTACTGCAATATAGAAATGCCAGACATTCGGTGACGAAAGAGACTCCATCAAAACTATTAAAAGGAAGAATTCTTCGGTCGAATATGAGATGTTTGGAGTCTGCAGAAGTTACATATTATCGTGGCAATGATCTTCGACCATCCACGGGGATCGTTCAGAAGAATGTCGGGAAATCTATGGTGCGACTTCTAGATATCAATGACTTAAGTACACACAATCGACATGTTGATCAAATACAATTCCAAGAGCCAGGTGAGTCTGTTCCAATTTCGGTTGTTAATTCTAATACTAATGAGAGCATTCTAGATAATACAGAGCCTTTATCCAATACACTGTCGGACAGACACAGGATGAATTTGAGAAAAGACGTACGATTGATTACAGACATATACATTCCAATTTAAGCTGTGGCGGATGTGGTGTTTGAATGAACTAGTAACTTCTTGTTGTTGTAAAATGCTTGATTTCGAATTCTAAATACAATACATTCGTTTGTGCATACCTTTAATTCTTGATTCATATACTTCTAATCATCACAGTCATCTAAATCTGTTTTCATCAGATGAGTCAATGAGACTTTTTACCATGTGAGGCTTCTATCATTGAACTCAGTCTAGTATATGCACTTATTACCCGATACAGGGATTTGCTGACTGAACCCGATTTTTCAGGTGCGGCCCAACAAATATCAGGCATAGTATCTTAACCATAAGATTTTAAAGAAAACTCATAGTTCTTCCGAAAAACGTGATCAGCACGAACTTCAGGCAGACGTTGACATTGACTTAATTTATCAGTTAGTCACTCTTGAACGAAAACAGGATAAAAAACAGATCATAGGAGGTACAGCCAACATGAAGACGCAAAGGACGACAGCTAAAAGATTAGTAACAATGAAGACAGTGTTAAACAGGTTATGCTACGGGTAATACTTCGAGAAATTTGAATACTTCATTTATACCTGGAATTTGTGCTTATTATGATATCCGGAGGAACATCGAAAGCTCCACTACCAAAACTTTCACCTAACAGGACGAAGCTTCACCATTGTTCTTATCATTTCGTCATTGGCTCTATGAAGGGACTGACAAATAGCCTGTAAGCTCCCAAACTTTCACAGATACAGCCTCCCAGTTACTCGTATTGCTAGGGTCGTTGATTGTTATGACCGGTCGAGTTTTAGGATTCATTAGGTGACCACATTCCAATAGTTGTGTAGTTACATGTGCCGCTACAGTCATTTATATGCCAAACTTACCCCAATCACCTATACAGCTATTTTACCACTAGATTAGGCCATCATGTGAGGCTATCCGATCTTCAATATAGTATATAGGTATAAAAATCTTGGTTTCATTGGCAAATAATAGGTCAGATGAAATTCAATATCCAATATCTTTTTCACGAGCTAGTATAAACCAAATGATTTCTTTGCGCTCGATTCTTGTTCTTTCGGTACGGTTTCAGGTGTTCTGTGGTGTCCAATGAATGGGGTCTAGCTACTCGACTGTCTAATTGTAGTCAGTTGGCAGTTGGTTGTGAGTTGACATGTCTCGGCATTTGGATGAAAACGTTCGTTTCAGGGCAGTAGGGTTTCTGGATACCAGCAGCCATCACATTACCAGACCGGAGATCAGTTAGTTGCACTGTGGATAATAAAAAGGATAATAAAGATAAAATTTTAATGCTAATATGAACAAAATTTCAGAACTAAGTAATATATAGATGATTTAGTTTATTAATTGGTAGTGAAGATTGTGTGAGAGGACCGAAGTGTAAGCAAGAGAGAGGAAACAGAGATAAATTGCCACAGCTTGCAAATTGTTTGAATAAAATAGAACAAACGATTTTACCTTCCGAAATCAAAATATTTGTAAATTTTGGTGTTTTTCAAGCCTTGTTTACCCATACTCGTTAATTCTCATTGTAATGAAGAAAGAAGATAAGACCAGATGAGATAAGGATGTTATTTGAAGAAAGTACAGTTTAATATCAATATGTGTTCACATCATCTTCAAACTTTCGTTTGTAAAATAGCTTGATAATCGATTGCCTCCTTCCATATATCATCTCCGGATCAGACACCACTTTGGCAGTTACTTCAGCATGACACATCTGTGTATCCACTACATACTACTTAATATCTTTTTTGTGAGTTAATTTTCAAGCCAGATGTGTGGCGCGAGATCTCATTGCGGTTTGGAAGAATGAGTGAAAATGTCAGCGACATCAGTCTTCGATTTCATTTCGTATATTGCACCTAAGCTAACTCCGTTTGTGCAATGGTGTTAATAAAAGGCTAAATGTGGATTAAACTGGACTAACCTATTCCTGCAAATCGTTAACAAAACTGAGATGAGGGGTGTGAAAACGAAGTGGAAGAGACGAGCGTGCCAACACCGTGAGCTAGGAGCAAATAAAAATTTATGGCTAGACGAAGACGTGAGGCGTAGGGCGTAGGAGAAATAAAAACGCTCGAATAAAAACAAATAGGTCTATCGGAAGATAAGTGACAATGTCCAAAACTGTTAGAATAACAACACGTGGGAAATGAAAAATTATTCTGTTCGACAACCTGAAAAGTCGATACAGGGGCGACATAATGCTTTTTTCACTTTCAGTGTAATAAATCCACTTTTATGGTGAGAACTCGATTGGTTTATCAGAAAAATTCGTTATTATAACCAACTGTAATTGTGACTGTTTAATTTTACTTCTTGTCTATTACATTCTGTACGCTCAAATTTTCTGTTTGTGTTGCTACCATTTTGGCCCCACTGTTTGTGTGATTTTTTTCTGTCACGATTTCGGCATTGGTTTGATGCCACGAAATCACCAGCAAGTACATTCTTTACCCTGGATTTATTTACCTTTACGGTGGCGGTTAATCGCAACTCGGTCATTTACTATAATTGGAGAGCTGAAATTCTATCCAAAGAAGTCAATTACTGTGAGTCTTTTATTTATCTACTATTAATATTGTCCTTTAATATGTAGTATACTCGCAACAGCGTTTCGAAAATGATGAATAGCTATAATATACTAGACTAGGTTCAGGTCATTGTATTTACACCTGTCTCCTTCCCGTCACTTCAGGTTGTTATTTTATTTTACGTGCACGATTTTTGCTCTAACGCTTGGTACTTGGTGGCCACAAGTG